TTTCGGGTCGGATGTTGCCATATCCACCCTGTGGTCCGACCCGAGCGTTAGGGGATCTCGGAAGGGAGAAGGAGAGGAGGGGAGGAGAGGAGGGGGACCAGAGCTTAGGAGAAAAGAAGAGGAGGGTAGAAGCCCAGAGCTGAGGATCAGAGCTGAGGAGGGAGAGGAGCTGGGACCAGAGCTGAGGAGGGGGACCAGAGCTGAGGAGGGAAGAAGAGGAGGGGAGAAGAGGAGGGGAGGAGAGGAGGGGAGGAGAGGACGGGAGAAGAGGAGGGGAGAAGAGGAGAGGAGGAGAGGAGGGGAGGAGAGGAGGGACGAGAGGAGGGGAGGGAGACGAGGAGGGGGCAAGCTCAAGGACGCCAGCCAGAGCTGGCGGGACCCCCACGGGACTGCACCAAAGCCACTCGGGCGAAGGGCCGCTGTTGCGCATGGCCGACCCCCGCCCACCTCCCCCTCATCCTCTCGCGGCATTGTGAGGCCTGGGCCCGGGAGCATGGGGCCCTCCAGCGAGGAAGCCCTGGACGTTGCAAATTCATCGGGCGCGCCCTGACGTACACCCCCTGGATTAAAGAGTGTGGACCAGCGCAAGTCTCCGAAAGCTCGAAAATGGGCCTGGTTTGTTTCCACTGAGAAGTGCACACACGAAATCGCAATTCTCGGGTGGCTCGAAATGGGATCAGAGAATTTTTGCCGAGGGAATCCTAGGCGAAATCGTAATTCTCCGGTCGCCAGAGACATTCCCCGGTTGCTCAGGAATGCGACTGGAAAGTGTTTTTGGAAGAAGTATTAGGTGGAATCGCGATTCTCTGGTCCTCACACCAATTGGCGATCATGATATTTAGTAGCAAGGAGGAAGGAGGAACTGGAGAAGCACAATTCCACCCAATACCTTCTCCAAAAACACTTTCCAGTCGCCTTCCTGAGCGACCGGAGAGTCCCTGGGCTAGCCTCTGCAACATTGTACCAGGGCCCCAGGGCCTAACGGGAACCTCGCTGCGCATCTTTCCCAACCTCTGCAATCCGCACTTTTTAATCCAGCAGGTTGTACTCTTTCCGTGGCGAGCCCCTGCTGTTCCGAGCCCATCCCCCTCCTTTTGGCTCCCCGCTGGCAACCTGCCCGAGCCTTGGAGCGGGGCGAGGGGATCGTCACGTACGTAGTCGGTCTGCCAGGGGTCGGTCAGTAGACAAGCGCGTTCCACCACTCGCAAGCAAAGTAAGTCATCGCAAATGGCCTGGATCCGCCTGAGGGGATTTAAGATCCATCAAGTCAGGATTTGTTTGTGTTCGGACGCTTGCGAGTAGGCAATTTGCGAGTAGTGGAGCGCGCGCTCGGCGAGTCAGGCCACAAGTCAATCTGAATGCCCTTACCTGCCCTCAGGGCCCCCTCCCTGGAGGCCTCCCACATGGAGTCCGAGCAGATGGGGTCGAAGGATTGCGCCGCATCGCGGACGCACCGCCGATACATCGGCGATGCATCGGCGACGCCGACGATGCACCGGCGCAGGCAGCGTGGCGAAAATCGGGCTACACACCGAGCCGCATCGCCGATGCACCGGCGATGCGGCGCGATCCCTTTTTTTTTTTTTTTTTTTTTTTTTTTTTTTTTTTTTCTTTCCGGCAACGATGAACCCACGGACCGACGCCGACTATTGGATAGAGACTGGGGAGTCGGCAGGCTGTCCTGCCGCAGGACCGTCCTCGCCCTTTCCTCCTGGGTGAAAAGAAGCCACTGGCACAAACGGAGCCAACACAGCAAGCAAGCGGCCGCCGCTGCTTAGGAGAACGCACGCGCAACAAAATGTGGCTATTTTCCCGCCGGCAGGGGGGGCAGAGAAGCGGGGAGAGCGAGGACGAGGAGGAGACGAGGGGGCGAGGGCGTTGTGCGGACATCCCCAGCGGCCCGAACGGCCACGTATAAAATTCAAAAGCGCACAACGTCATTCTGGAGGAAACGCGGGAGGGGGAAGAGGGGGGAACGACGACAAGAAAGAGAGGAGGACAAACGGACAGAACGAGTGCCCACACGTCCAGTGTGGAAGTCGCAAGGCGGCAGCCGCCAGCGAGCCAGTGCCAGAACAGCGCGGCACGATCGAAGTTGAAAGCAAGTATAAAAGGATGCTGCGCTCCGCAGCCGATCGCATGAGCTAGAACTCGCACCCACCTGCAAGCCTAGCTCCGAGAAAACCGCCCGCCGACCCCCGAGGCCGGCCCAGGAAGTCCCCGGGAGGGCCCCAAAAAGGCGCCAAAAGGAACCCAGAGAGGCAAAAAAAAACAACACACAGCCCACACAACAACCTCCCCAACAAGGAGAAGGACGGTGCAAAATGCGTGCTGATTTGTTTAGCCACCCCGGGTGCCAGCTGGAGCCCGGTGGAGGCCCTCAGGGGGCCACCTGGGGGCACGGAGGAGGAGGAGGAGAAGGAGGAGGAGGAGAGAGAACAAAGAGAGTGTAGGCAACAGGCTACCTCGCCCCTTCGCGGAGAAACCTATTGTACGCCCCCGAGAACTCGGAGGGGGAAAACTGATGATGCCGGATGCCGCTATGGAGCCTGAAGAGGGCGTAGAGAGAGAGAGCGCGCTGCAGGAGGAGGGCATCTCCTCCCATCGCTTGCGAGCCGCTGCTCGGAGGCATGCAGAGGAAGTAATCCAGGGCCCACTCCGGAGCCGGAGTTGGCCCACCGAATTGGGATGCAGTCAGCCTTCGAATTGTCGGGCAGCGTGCAAAATGTGCTAGGCTGTCGTCGCCGACGCCACAGGCAAATGAGCAGGGACAGCGACTCTGAAACCGACGCCGCGTGCACCACCCGTCGCACAGGGTGCGCAAATAGGCGGCTTGGACTCGGGGCGCCGCGCTCCGCCCCAGAACTCGAAAAGTTATCAGCGCGCGCTCCACGCGACGGCCTGGGAAGGTCCGTAGCGGCCACCTTTCGAGCCGACGGCGAAGGTGGACATAGGCAGCTCTGGGCGGGGTCGCTCTGAAGAGACTCGTCACCCTGCCCTGCCAGCCGCGCCGTACGCTCAAGTCTAGGCCACCCCCTGCGGGGAGGAGAGCAACTCGTCGCTGGAAACCGCTGTCGGCGGCGGCTAGCTTGAACAAGAAACAGTTTTGGGCCCATGACTGCCACCATCCAGCATGAGCTAAGGAACAGGCAGGACTGGCCAGAAGATCCCGCAAGCGCGATGCACGTTCCTGCGCGCGTAGGCCGCCGTAGGCTGCATTTTCGAATCGCACCACGCGGGCCTTCGCAGCTGCAGCAGTGGCGACAATATCCGGCAGCTCGCTGGGAAAACTGAGAGATCGCAAATCCCGAAGGCAGGGTGAAACCATCCAGCTCGTCGGACCTGGCAGCAAAAGTTGGCATGCCCTCTGTTCGTGGACGAAGAAATCAGTAGGGAGGTCCTCCAGCTGACCAACAAACTGGAGCACAGAGCTGATGTACACTCGGTACGCCTGCAGAGATAAGAAAAATCCCAGGCCGAGGCGCCCCCAAAGTCTCGCCCGATCTATGTACTTTCTCAGCGGAGCCTGCCAGGAGCTGGCGGCCCTCCCCGGGCCCACCATAAAACCAAGATATTTCGCAGCCCCCGCAATCCGGACGGAGCCCCAATCAGGAGCCTGGCGGGCCACCTCGTCCCTAACATCCTGCTCTTGGTATCGGAACAGCGGTACAATGACCGTCTTCCGCACGTTGAGGTGGAGTCCGGAAACCAAAGAAAAATCTATGAAAAACGACTGGAGACAGCGGAGGCGATTGTAACCCTCCCCAACAACCATGGCCAAGTCGTCAGCCCATGCCCGCGTGCACGCGGAAGGGGATACCCTCCGTAGCCTGCGCAGCATGAGGTCCGTGGCCATGGCGAACAAAAGAGGAGAGAGGGGACATCCCTGACGGATGCCCCGCGTCAGTGAGAAGCCGCGGTATCGGGCTCCGCCCAGGCTGATGGAGCAGAAATTGTCTTGGTACAGTATGCCGATGGCTCGGGGGAGCCATGGGGGCCAGCCCAGCGAAGCAAAAAACTTATGGAAAAAAACTATGTTCAATTGAAGGGAAGGCGGCCGCAAAATCATAAAAGAGAGCGAGGCCTTCCTCCCCTTCTGCGGCTACTTGGGCCATCGCCTCGTCGACGTCTAGAAGGTTCGCAATCATCGAACGTCCTGGCAGGAACCCGCGCTGGTCCGAGATAATGAGCGACTCGATCGCGGGCTCCAGCACCAGGCGAATTGCACTGGCGAAGAGGCGATTGTCGCAGTTCGTCACGTTAAGCGGGCGAACGCCGCTCGCAGGGAAGGCCGCGGCCTCACCCCCCGAGTGGCCCTCCAGAGCCTTGGGGGGGAAGAAGAGGAGGCTCTCGTTGAAGTCGGCGTACTGCTGCCGGACCTGCTCCTCCCCTGCTGCGGACGCCATCTCTTCGAATGCACCGTGCAACACGTTCACCGCGACGTCGTCCAATGCCCTCCATGCCCCGTAGGGTAGCCCGTCTGGCCCTGGGCAAGAGTCGTTGGACAGTCGGAGGGCCTCTAGAACGTGTTGGCGTGTAAGCCGGAGCTCGTGCACCGCCGCATGAAGAGGGCCCTGGCGCTCCCGGTCGGCGGCGTCATCGACCAACCACTCCTCGAGACGATCCTGCCGAACGCCGCGTTCCCGGAAAATCTCTGCCCAATGCCGCCGAAGCACGCTCGCCATCTCTTGGCGGGATGCAAATGGGGGGATAAGTCCAGATGGGGAGAGAGGCGCAACCGAGGTACAAATTGTACCTACGCCCCACGGAGAAGGTACAAGTTGTACCGACGCCACGCAAACAAGGTACACATTGTACTTTTGACAACGTCCGCGACATGTGCGAGGATGTTAACGGGGGGGGAGAAGGTACAATTTGTACTTGCAACCCGAAGAGAAGGTACAAATTGTACCCCAACAAAACGGTACCGGATACTCATCCCCCCATGTCCTGATCCCCCCATCGCCATCCGGCCGAATCTCGGCCGCCCCTGTCACAACGTTGCCGCGCTCGTCGACGATGGCCCCAATGCCAGAGCTGCGACCGGGCGCCAACTTGTACAGCAAGCGCGTGCCTCGCTGCCTCTTCCGCTTCACCTGGAGCGCGTCTCCCTCCGCAGCGTCGTCCTGAGCCTCCAGGAGCAGACCCAACGCGGCCTCCCGGGCGAGTTCCACTGCATGGTCACGGAGAGCACGGAGGGAGGTCGTCAAGTTGCCCTGGAGGTCGTAGGGGTTCGCCACAAAGGAGGATATGTGAGGGTACCGCAGCAGGCAGTGCGAAATGTCCGTGAGGAAACCCAGCTCCGACGCCCGGATGAATCCCATGACCGCCCCGAGCTTGTCCTCAGCCTTCTCCGCCAATGGGAGGCCCACAGTGGGGGCGCCGAAGTTTTCGGCCACCCCCCGCATTGCTTCCTTCAGGAGGGGCAGCTGCTCCAACCTGGATGCTCCTGGGTGAGCGACGAGCAGCTCCTGGAAGGCTAAAGCGCAGCGGCGAGGGAAATCGGGATGCATGTACACCGCCCTGGCAACAGGCCGCCTCGCCGCATCAAGTCTGACTGGGATGCGCCGGGCCGCCAGGACGGCCCGATGCGCCGATCAGTCGCGCCTCCATTCCAAAGCCACCACTTGTAACTCACGGTCGATCTGTTCCGAGGCGTGGTGATTGAGATACAGGCGATCAAGCCGCGAGGAGGCCGTGGCACACACGTGCGTCATCTCCGGCTGGAAGAGCTCCTCGAGCCCGTGCCGCTGACCGATTGAAAGCCGGAAGTTCCTCTCCTCCCCGTCGTCGCGGCCGCCCGTAGGCTGCAGCGTGGCCACGCACCGGCGGTCTGTCTTAAGAGCCGCCCAGTTGAAGTCCCCGCCCAGGAGCGTGAGCACCCTATGCTGAGGTTGGATGGCCCTGGCCAGTCGCGTCCGCATGTGCTCCCGGAGGCGCGGGAAAGTCGAGCAGTACTCCATAAAGTTGGGGTGCACCCCAACTTTGTCCAGCTCGGTGACAGTGCTGCCTGTGTGGAAATACGTGACTACGATGTCCAACGCTCCTGCAGCGCCTCGCAGAGAAAGGATCGCGGCCCGTCCAGGCCAAATAACCTTCCACCGAGGCTCAGCCTGAAACTGGGCCAGAAAGCTGAGCTGCACGATGACGCCGACACCAGCGCTGCTTGGGGAGGGGCCAGCCGACCACCACGTCCGGGTCCCAATGGGAGGCCGCCACGCTCGGTTGCCACCGTCCGTGCCGTGCGCCTCCGTGATCATCAAGATGCATGCCCGCTCCAGCAGCCGGCTCGCGTAGGCAACCTTGGCGCGGAATCGGCCCTCATCGGAGCAGAAGAAGGCCTGGGCGTTCCAAGTGGCCGCGCTGAACTCACCCTGAAACTGCCCTGGCCTGGACATCGCCGGAGATGCCGGACGGACCTGCGGGAGTGCAGCTGGAAGAGAAGTCGTCCTCGGGAGCGACCCCAATGCCCGCAGGAGCCGCTGTCTCCGGTAGAGCGCAATCGGCATGTCCAGGCGCAGGAGAGCGTCCGGATCGCGAGGGAGGATGTCCTCCGCACTGTATGCCAAAGGTGGCAGTACTGGCAGACACCTGGCACTTGAAAAAACTGGGTCAGAAACGCCAACGTTTAAATTATTCGAATTCGGCGAAATTCTTAAATTCGTAGGGCGAGAGAAGGAAGAAGAGGAGGAAACGCAACTCACAGGCTGCGGAAGCTCCGAATGACAAACCGGCCGCGTGTCCAGCATGGCCTCCATCTCGTGGCGGAGCTGGCTGCTCGACGCTGTAGGCACAGCGCGGAGAAACCACACGACCTCGATGAGGAAGCCCGTGGAGCCATCAGCATCCCAATACTGAATTCCACCATGCAAGTGTCCAGAGTACCCTGCGGGGTCATGGAACCGGTGGGTACTCAGGCCCGGCTCCGCTGCCCGTTTCCCGGCACTCCGCGGCTCTCCAACAAGTCGTTACAGACCATCACCCCGATCCTGTCGAGCCCCACCTTCACGGTTTGACCGTGGAGGGCATTGTGAAGCTTGCGGACGTCGTCAATCGACGAGAGGAGCACCCGCAGCCGGCCTGGCTGGGCGGCGGGGTCCTGGGTAGCTAGGTGGATGTACTCCCCCACCTTCGGTGCGCATTGATAGTCCGTCTCGTTGATCGTCAGCCCCGTGGCCTGGCCTGAATCACGTGTGTCATCAGCACCCTGAGGACCTGGCCGTCCTCCTTCCCCACCTCCCCCTGGATGACGACGTCGGTCTGGAAGTCGTGGAGGGAGAGAGGTGCTGTGCCGCGTCGCCGCGAAGCCGCCAGCCCGCGGGAGGTGGCAGACGGCGCCGCGACCACCCTGCCTCCATGCTTGGACGCCCGCCAGCGTAGCCGGACAGATGTCTCCTCCACGTCGTTGTGCATGACATAGTCCATCTTGCCAGTCCATGTCTCCGGCTCCGCCTCCGTGTACACGACGACCCTGCTGGGCGAGATGGCGACCAGCTGGGAACAAAGCGGCCAGTAGTGCGGCACCGCGAGCTTGGAGGAGAACTCCAGGAGCAGCGCCTCCCCGTGTCCGACCATGGAGCGGAGGCCGTAAAAGGTGTCTGAAGCTAATGACTCCCCACGGCCATGCCGGAGAACGAGAAATATGTCCATGTCCTGGACTGTTGGAGGCAATATCCAGTCCAAGCAGAGGCGAGGAATCGCCGTAGTGCTCAATGGGCTGCGCCGCGGTGCGCGGCTGAGGACGCCCTGCAAGACGCTGTTCGTGAGAAGGTTCATGGTCCGGTTGTATTCGTCTGCCCGGAGGTCCAACACCATCACCCTGGGCGCCTCCACGGTGCAGATGGCGGCGTGCGGCTCCAGCAAGCGCGGGAGCCCCCGCGGCTCCGTGTGGCCAAGATGGAAGACCGCGAGGCCTTGGTACACGTGACGCGGGAACCCACCGCCCGGAAGCAGCATCTCCATGGGTGTCAAGGTCAGCGTGTATGCCCGCACGATGGGGGGCCACTTCCCTGACAAGAGCGGGGAGTGCCAGAGGTCCAGAACTGTCTCCAGTGTCCCCATGCCTGCCTGCAGCGGCACGGGGGCGAGGAGGTAGAGGGCCGCCGGGCGCTCTGCCGCGGCCGTGCGACGCATGAACTGGGAGAGGAACCTGGTGAGCGCATTCTGGTCCGTGGGGGCCCATAGTGCCACCTGCCTCCCAGTGACCTGCGCCCAGAAGCTCTCATCCCCCTTCTCCGCCCAGCCCGCCAACCGTCGCGCGGCGGAAATGTCCGAGGCCGTCTGGAGCTATCCCAGACCATTGAGTGGCCATGCAAGTCCCCCCCGGCAGATTGTTCGAAAGAAGACTCAGTGCGACTGCACCCAGCTCTTTGTGGAGGGGGAGCCGTGGCACCTTGAGACGCCGGCGCTGGGCCAGAGCCACGGGCAGCGCAGACACGCAAGTCGCCGCCGCATCGTTGACCTTGGCAGCGAACCCCCGCGCGAGGGCGAGATCCCCATCCGCCCATGGAGGGGCCACAGCGAGCTCGCAGAGCTGCTCGGCCGTGCGGCGCCTGTTGGCAATCATGAGCTCCGACGGGTCCGGACCATCGAGCATCGCCAGGCCCAGGAGATGCCAGGCCTCCTCGGCGGTCACTCCGTAACCCAACTTCTGCAAAATGCCCTGGAGGTCCGCCCAACATGTCGGGTAGAAGACCGCTGGGCTACCGGTGGCGGCCTGCCCCGCGTTCGCCGCAGCGACCCAGGGGAGGTGCACCATGACCTCTTCCTCGACGAAGTCCACCATGAGCTCGTCCCGAAGAGAGACTGTGAGCCCAGGCGCGAGATGACCGGGAGCCGAGGAGGGCCCAGCAGCAGCAGCAGAGGCTCCCGTCCTCGCGATGTTGTCGTCGTCCACCTCGATGGCCTCCAAGTGCCCCGCCTCCGAGTCCTCGTCCGCGCCCATCCGCAGAGCCGACATGCCCTGCGTAGCGCCAGTGTCCATGTTCGCTGGGGCCGCCGCCGCAGAGCCAGCGCCCGGAGCGGGAAGCCCTGGCGGCATCGGCGGCCCGGCCGCCGCAACGGCGGTAGCAGCAGCGCCGGGCAGCGCCTGGCCGCAGCGCCGGCATCGGCCCTGCTCGTCGGCTGACGCCGGGAGCGCGCCGAAGAACGGGCACGCCAGATGCGCGCACGCCATGTTGCTGACTGTGGAGGGATCGGGAATTTAAGGGGGTACAGGTGCGATCGGGAATTTAAGCGGGTACAGCCCCACTCGGACTGAGTAGCCCGCCCGCCCCACCAGGCCTTATTCTTGAGCCAGGCCTTATTATGCGGCGCGATCCCCCTACCCCGTCTGACTACTCTGGGAGCCGCACACGTATACACTCAGGTATGCGGACCTTCGCCAGCAACGTGGTCCCCAGATTTTGCTGACTGCCTCGCGCGCTCGCGGACCTACCCCGCGTACTGTCCACGGTGCTCTGCGCGGTGGCACTTGCGAACAGAACTTCAGTCCTGCGCCTGTCCCCCGATACCCGGACCCCATCTGGGAGGCCTGGATGCAGGGGCCCAGGGACACACGAATAAATACACACACATCCCAGGGTTACCCTTTTGTTTCCTTGTTTTTCGGATTTCCCATCGTTCCCCCCATACTTCCCATAGTTCCCGAGGAATCGACGACTCATTGTGTCTGTGTGATTTTTTCCCTCCTGACTGTATAGCCCCCCACAGCAGGGCCCCCTCATCGCCCCGTCGGCCGCCGGCCCCAGAGCCCCGACGTCCTGAGTTTTTCTCATCACATCGACCCCGCAGAAGTTCTGACCTGTTCCCCGGGACCGGCTTTTCATCCCGAGTCACGGCCCTGAGGCCCGGCAGGGGCCTCCGGATCGGGGGCGCGCAAACATGGATTAGCGATCCATGGATTTGGCGCGCGGTCGCCAAATCCATGCATCGGGGGCGGTGCCCTCCCCCAAATGCGGCCGGTGCCGCATCGCTCGGCGGCGGAAACCTCAGCGATTCCCCATGGACACGGGACCCGTTGCTAATCCATGTTTGCGATCGCCTGAAAGACCATCGGCGGCGAGGCCACGCCAGGGCCACAGGAGACTCAGGAGACGCGCCTGCGCCGATCCCGGCCGGGCCCATGCCCGGAGGTCCTCCTCCTCCTCCTCCCCTCCCTCTCCTCCTCCTCCTCCTCCTCCTCCTCCTCCTCCTCCTCCTCCTCCTCCTCCTCCTCCTCCTCCCCCTCCCCTCCTTTTCTCCCTCCTCCTCCTCCTCCTCCTTCTCCTCTCCCCTCCTCTCTCCTCCCTCCCCTCCTCCTCCTTCTCCTCTCCTCCTCCTCCTCCTCCTCTCCTCATCCTCTTCCTCTTCCTCCTCCTCCTCCTCCTCCTCTTCCCTCTCCTCTCCTCCTCCTCATCATCCTCCTCCTCCGGTCTTCCTCCTCCTGCCGTGATGTGTCCCTTGCTCCAACGAGGGGGGGCTTTGGGGCGCCCGCCCCCCGGCCGCGCGGGGGCCTCCGGCTCCGGCGTGGCAGGGGTCGGCGGCACCCACGGGGGCACGTAGGAGCCTCTGCGCGGCCGCCGCGCCGCGGAGCGCGCGCGCGCGCGGGCGTGCACGCCAAACTTCAAGGACCAAGGTGTGCGGCGCGAAGCGCCCTCGCAGTCTTGTATACACAGATCATATATATATATATATATATATATATATATATGGATTCCCCTTCCTATATTTTTATAAGCCCGGGCGGGGGGAAAACCCGTCCCCCCCCCCCTAAAACCGGACCCCCGGGATCTGGGGCTTTGGGACCCTCTGGACGGGCCTCGAAGCGGCCCCCTGGGCCTCGCAGGGCGTTTTGCCAAGCCTTCGCAGCACACCCAGGGCGATCAGGGGGGTCACCGGAGACGTCCCAGAGACCCCCAAGACAGCACAAGAGCGCTCCAAGAAGCCGTCATACCCCGAAAGATCGCTCGAAAACGTACCAAGAGGCCTCCAAGAGCACCCCCAAGAAGGCCCCAAGAGGGAAACATAATTGATTTTACGCAGGTGTTTTGTGCATTTGGGGTTCTCCTCTTTTCGGCTTCCCGACGCTCCAAGACGGCGGTCTCCTGGGCGTCCGAAGCCGCCTGGGAGGC